CCAAAAAAAAAACATGATTTACACAGAGTAATCTTTAACTTTATTTCCACCCCATGGCCGCATGTGACTAAAAAACGCAGAGAAATACTACATAAATATAAACTTTTGGTCGTATCTTTCATAATAGAAATCCTCATAACTTAATAATAGCATCATATAATAGATAAATGGCTAAAAGTGAGTTCCAAACGCTCAGAAAACGAAAAGATTGGCAATGCAAATGAGAATAATGGACCAACATCCAAAGAACTTGGAAAAAATTGGAGATGTACAATGGCACTATTTCTACAAAAGGTATTGTATGAAATTTGTTATCCAATGAATACTTGACAAAGTACTTGAAAAAGTTTATGGTTTGCATATTGCACATTGTTGATCCATCGTAATTTTTACAGGGATACATTAGCAATTAAAAGTATGAATCTTGCTAAATTAAAAGACATTTGGAAATCTCACTTAAAAAATCAGCAAATAAATTCGCGACATTTTTTAAAAATTGAGCTGGATGTATATAAAAAAAAAAAAATCCAAATGCATATTTTTGAAAATATATACATTTCCTGAGGAGGGTTTACGGGAATTCTTAAAAATTCAATATTTATTAGTGAAAAATTTGAGATCACATACGTAGGAGAATCACTCACTCTTCCTACAGCAATTAAATTGACACCAATTATGAATAAGGAAAAATACGACAAAGATTTAAATACGGTACCCTTGATACAAGGACCGTTTTTCATCGAATTTCAGCCATATCACGTAATACAGGATCACTTTCGTTAAATAGAATACAACTCTACAGAATACCGTCTCTACAACTTGACAAAACTATCGATATTACTAAATTGTCTTAATTAGTAGATGTAAGATACGCTTACGAAGAAAACATATTAGAATTTCTTTTAATACTGGAAAAAAAATGGAAGCAAAAACAAATTGAGAAAAAATATTCGAAGACATTAATATACATTTTGAAACAAATGACCTTTTCTCTACGCAGTGTCACGGTTTTTGCTGATGGTGCTACAACAATGAAAAGTAGTAATAAAGGACTAAGCCGGCTACAAAAATGCTTCTTATGTAATATTCAAACATTACATGATACACATGCAAGTTTTCGCTGCAAACGTATATTAGTAAATTAATTTATTAATGGTAATTGGTTCGGAAAATCGTTTACATGGCTTAAGATATCCGACTACGTTCGGAACCGTGATTTTAAAAAAGCGCATAAATGGATAATTTTCATGATATTTAGTGTCACTTAGAATACATGTATAAAAATGTTTTAAGGACATTTTGACAAAAAAAATTATTTAAATACAATATTTCGGCAAAAAATTAACTTACAATAATTTTTTTCCAAATGTTCTCTTTTTGTGAAAAATGCTTCTATTATAATAATATTTTGCCTGTATATAGCCCAGTCCTCTGTACAGAGGCTCAACTAGAATTTTTGAAACATACAATTTAGAAGTGGGTTTATCCATATTTTACAACAGAGGGGAGCAATTTTAAGAAAAATATGCCAATAATTATTTAAATTGGTGGTAACTCTGAAAATAATGTGAATTTTTCAAAAATCATAGTTGAGCCTCTATAGAGAGGTCTGAGCTATATACATGCAAAATATTATTATAATAGAAGCATTTTTCACAAAAGGAGAACATTTGGAAAAAAGATTATTCTAAGTTAATTTTTTGCCAAAATATTATATTTAAATAATTTTTTTTTGTCAAAATGTCCTTAAAACAATTTTATACATGTATTCTAATCTAAGTGACACTAAATATCATGATAATTATCAATTTATGCTTTTTTTTTAAAATTACGCGGTTCCGAACGTAGTCAGATACCTTAAAGATTTGAATTTTTGTTTAGAGAGAGAGAGTACAAACATTTTTCTACATTGAATACTAAAACCGAAGTCTTAAAGAATCAGTTGATACTTTGGCAAGGAGAACTGAAAAACTATTGTAAATATTTATTGTGGTCACAAGCGGTTATTCTACAGTAGAGGAGTAAATTCCCAAGATTCTAAAGCAGAACAACTTCTCAGTGAACTATATAAACTCTATTTATTTTCTCTTTCAATATAATTCGGTTACACTCAAAAAGCGTGGGACTAACACCATGTTACAAGTCATTCTCTTCTAAGCCGCTCTCATCAATTCTGTCCTCTTTGGTCAAAAACCGCGCAATTTCTGTGGGTGGAGGGATTGTCCATTGGAATCCTCCACATTGGAAAGGGGAAAGCGTTAGAATTGTGCCAACATTTACACTTGTTATAACAACACCAAAATAGACATGCTCCTATACTTTTCAGAATTTACTAAAGAAAATAATATGGATTTTTTTTTGTTATGTATTTCATTTAAACATTTCTCGTCATGAGGTAAAATTGGAAGTAATTTTCGAAAAGATTTTTTAAATTCCTAAATACAGTAAAACCTGTTTTTGTGCGGTAGATAGGGACCGCATAAAAGAAATCGCACAAAAAAATATTCTAAAATTTCATAAATACTTGCCTATAACAAACAATTTTGTCGACATACTACAAAAAACTTTTTTTATGCGGTGCATAGGGACCGCATGAAAAAAGTCACACTTAAAAAATATGTCAATTTGTGATATGGTTGCTCTATGGTGACCATATTTTTGATTGTCAGCGTGAATTAGAGGTGTGGGATTCTCAAAATGATCAGACATTTTAAAATTCTTAATATGACTTTATTAAGAATATAACTTAAATCTCTCTAATAATTTAGATAAATTTTAATAAGTGAGAATCTAATAAACCAAACACACAGCAATAGTTAAACTGGATCGCGTAATTTAGACCACTTATCTAAATAATTATATTATCCATCTACTTTCAATTCTGATAATATTTCAAGTCTTAATATCAAATAATAAGTCCTACCTTAATCCAAAATAAGATTCTATCACGGTACGAAACACCTGAGCGCGCGTGCAATGGTATGCACCTTGTAGTAATGACTCGATATCTTGGTAACTTTACGATAGGCCGTCAATTCACACTCGTATCTCTTCCAAACATAACTTTCCCTAAATTGCCATACTGCTTACTGAAAGTTCTGTTCTTTTAAAAGCTATCTTATTTGCATTTCATAATCGTATTTTACTTCTTGGATTTGGCTTGGAAAAGATTTGCCATTAATCTTGGCCGTCAAAGAACCCAGAGGTTATGTTACAGAAAAGACGCTCGAGCCCGTCACAAATTATTAACGAAATTTATGAGAAAGTATTTCCAAACAAAATAAGTAATTAAATTACACATAGAAACATTTTGAAAACATTAAATTTCTCATTGTATACACGGAGAAATTTTCACAAAATGCTCATACATAATTCACTGCTACTCATCGTAATCCAAAGCGCGCATCTTCCTGTGATGAATTAATTCAAAATCTCTTTCGTCACTTGAAGATACTATTTCAATTGGTTTATTTTTTTGACACCGTACAGTAAGTGATAAGTTCTTGTGAATCAGGTCAGTCAGTTGATCATGTGCTTGTGAACGTCGCGATTGCCAGATATGCATGATCGAAGCTCTTTTTGGAATTTCAAATTCCTTTCGGAATAGTATCAATTTTAAGAAATTTCTTTTCCGATTTCTTAGAAAGTTGGATCCCAGCATATATTGTATCCGCTGTCAAAGAATCCGGTTTTTCTTGTCCGTCTTCATAATCTATCAAATTATTCATAATATCACTGTCATTGAAAGTTTCGTCTTCAATCAAGTGCGTGCTGCTAGTGCGTTGAGAGAAAGCAATGGAACTGTAAACTCGAGAAGCTGTATATAACCAATGAAAAGAGCGTCTTAAAGTGTGTGTATGTACATTGATAGAAAACATTACAGGTACACCAAAACCGTTGAAATTCATATACCGCATTAAAAAAAAAAGATCGTACAAAGAAAATCGCATAAAAAAGGACCGCACAAAACCAGGTTCTACTGTAATGCTTTAGATTATATACGCGATACATTTTAGAGATTAGATTGTGAAGTCGTAATGTTATGAATTGGTAATAGTTCACAAAACCTAGAGAAGACTATGAAAATATTTATTTTCAAATTTCAAAGTTTCTCTTTACTGATTGGTGTTCTTTTACAAGCTTTTATTTAGTTTCACCTGTCCCGTTGTCTGTCTGTCGGTCTGTAATCAAATCCTGCAAGTTAAATTTGATCCACTTCCCGGTTTCCGATTGAGCTGAA